AAATCCCTTGAGTGTTCCTTCATGATCGGAACGTTGAGCCAAGAGATGATAAGGTGCTAGGACTTGATAGATCTAAAACGAAACACCCGAAACACATCCAGATCAACCAATTACTGCCCACATGCCCTGCACTAGCAGTCCCCTCTGTGTAGGTTACGTGAAATAAGAAAGAAGTGGAAGGTAAATGGAAGATAAAGGGGAATGAAAGTCATTTAAATGAAGAATAACACCAAAGAGTGAAGAGGATGACAGAATATGAACCAAAAGTTGAAAGATGGATATGGTCAGGATAAGGGAAAGGTTTCGTGTTGCCACCCAAGAGCGTCTAACTGACGCTCGAAACCCTTAACTGTAGGCTCACTGACTACACTTCCTGGAAGCGAGTTCCAGCGCTCGATAACTCTACGCGATAACCGAGTTTCCGCCCCGATGCGGGCAGAACGTAGCTTGTGTAGCTTCATGGGATGACCACGAAGACAAGGCAACCTAGCCGGGCTGAATAGCCAGCTCAAGTCCGGTCCAAGCTTCCCAGTTAAAATGCGGTAAGTAAGGATTAGGTCTCCTCGAAGCCGTCGGTAGTGCATTGAATACATACCCAAGCTAAGTAGACGCTCAGGGGACTATTGCCCCCTAACCACTTGACCAATTTGGTACCTACTCGCAAAACCCTCTCGAGCTCCATTTTATTCCGAACAAGGCAGAGTGACAAGCCTGGACGCAGTATTCCAGATGAGGCCGAACGAAAGCTGAGAATAGCTTCACAAATATGTCGGCAGCTAAGACCTCGAAAGAACGGTGTATTAACCACAACATTCTGAAACCCCTACTAGTGGCCTTATTCCAGTTGTCACCAGAATGCAAAGACGAGGAGTGGAAGAGGAAAGGACTTAAATTTATCCCAGGCAACGTACAGAGCGACATGGAGGTTACAACACAGAGCCCATTTAACAGCTTTTGAGCGACAGGTGACGCGTTTGGTACGCTCTACATAGTTGGATGCCCTGGCGGTGTGCCGCATTGAAATAGAAAATGAAAAACCAAGAGCAAATTAAAGTTCAAGCTCAGGTGGGACTGGAACGATAGGATGAATTCCGTAAGTGTTCCTTCTTGAGCGGGTCGTCGATCCAGGAGTTGATAGGGGTGCTCCAACTTCTTGAAGGATCTAAAAGGAAAACACCCGAAAAACACCCTGGTCCACCAGCCTTGGCTCTCATGGATTGATAGTCTGCTTGCCATATGTTCGGGCGAGACTCAACAGTACTCTGGTAGCGTCTAGACAGAGTACAATTGAAGAGCAAACAAACATGATCACTGGAACCCAGTGGAGGTCCGTAAGTAATGTCATCAACAAAATCGAGTGACTTAGCGAATACAAGGTCTAAGATAGACGGTACTTGGGCGTCCATGTACCTAGTGGGGAGGTCAATGAACTGGTGCAAAGATACTTAGAGCGTAAGCTCAAGCAGATCAGAGCCGAATGTGCCTTACGCTGAGTCGCAAGAAAGATCTGCCCAGCAAATCTCTGGGAGGTTGAAGTCGCCCATCACCAAACACTTATTTGCAGACTGGGAGCGAACGAATTTAAGTACCTCTTTGGATACGCTCCCAGGGCTTCTATACACAATTACAACCGTAACCTGAGGCGAGGATGTGCTAATAACAGCCGACAGAGCTTCAACAGTTTTGTCTGCCGACTGAAATAAGCAAGTCTTCAAAACGTCAACTTTACAGCTCACATAAAGAGCGACGCCCCCTCCCTGTCGGCCAGCAGAGCGATCGCACCTAAATAGTGCGTAGCCAGGTAGATGTACTTCACCATCAGTGATGTCCTGAGAAAGCCACGTTCCAGTGAATGCAAGTATATCGGGATGAGACCCATCTACAAGCAGACCTAACTCGTACACCTTATTGCTTAGGCTGCGCACGTTACTTAACACTATCTGAAGGTATTCGTTAGATCCAGACCTGGGTCATGCGCTACCAGAATGGGCAGTGGTAGGGCGGAAAAAGACCGCCGGCTGACCACCCGAAAACCCACTAACCGGAGACCCTGCTCACGGGACGATCGCCTACTTTTGAGGTCATTGATGCATCCCTTAGCTTCAGCTTATCGGCCAGCGGAAGGTCCGCTGAACGCTAATATTTGTACCTTTAAGCTTAAACGCAAACCACATGAGAGCGCTGCGTTCCTCCGGGGTAGAGAGTACCACACGAAGTAGCCGCGGTCGAGGGTTTGGTACATTAACTGGGACGTTCCCCAGTCTAATCAGCTTCTGACAGTAACGCCTGGAAAACCAAGCGGAAGAAGCTTCGTTACGCACATCTTAAACCATTGAAGGCCGTCTAACATGCGATCAGCAGGAAGGACAGCAGTAGATTCAACCGCGTTACGGAATATAACGCTACTATCCGTGAAAGAATCGCTACGACGGGGTGTATTAACTCCACGGGTCTTTGATTCGATACTTGGAGCAGGTGGCTTCACCACTAGATGTGGGAATGTCTTTAGCCCCTCCGATGAGGTAGCAACGGCAGCGTATGTTTTTCGTTCCATTGTCGATGCCATCGTTTTGTTAGGGTCATCGATTTCACCGAAAGGCTTTCTGGCAGATTTGGTCTGTTTTTCTTCTTGATAACGGCAGCAGGGTCCTGTGACGATTTTTCGCTTTGAGCAAAAGCAGGCAAATTTTCAGAACATGCCTCCTCGGTGAGAACCGAGATTGCCGGCAACTTCGGCTGACAAGTAGTGCGTGTTGGAATCTTCGCCTTCGCACAACCGTCAGACGGTTTGCCAAGTAACGACACTTCGCTTGTTTCCGGTGCCGAGACAACTATAACTTTTGTATAGCAGAGAGCTTACGGGGTTTCCTGGCTCTCTTTCGCTTTACTCGAAGGGACCCTTGAACTAGCAATTCGGCGTCGATCAGGGTAGCTTTAGGTACGACGTCCGAAGCTGCTTCATTCTTGTGGTCGGTAGCCATCTGGACCCGTGACATAATGATTGGTGCCACAAGTTGATCATCAGTGTAGGCGATCAAATCTGCGTTGTTGGAGACCGGAAGCGTCTTCATGAGCAGATCAAACTTGAAGCGAAGATCTGAGAGCATCGAGAATGAACGCTCTACATTTCGCAGCCCGGTATCAAGAGATTCGTCTCTCGTACGAAAGGGCGCGCGGCCTTGCCGGCGGCTGCAGCAATTGGCACAACTAAAAAGCAACTTTTCGCTGGGGGCCAGCGCTGCGTACTGCTCGGTATTCAGGTCCGTACAAAGCTGACGAAGCTGCGGTCTCCCACGTTGGAATTCCCGATAGCGAGCCTCACGTTACGCAGACACCTAAGCAAACCTCTAGCGTTTGCTCTCCTGTGGCAAGGGCAGTCAGCTTGTCTGGACAACCCCCTTCACAAGACGCCAGTGAGATAACTCCTGGCCTGCATTTGGCTGTGGATAAACTTGATCTTGATGGAAATGTGAATCACACCTCTATGGCTGAAGAGGGTAGTGAAGGTGTGGCAATGGGACTTCAGCCGGTGCGCTCAAAAACAATCGAGGCCTCATGCTCGAGAGTAGTGGCACCAAAGTCCATGGGTGTTATGCCCTTTTCACATAATGATAGGATAAATGAAAAACTTGCCACACCTAAATTGGACCGTACAGAAAATCCGAAGTGCAGTGCTGTTAGGTTGACTCAGGTAAATGGGAGGAAACCCATCGGGAGTTTATCCAGCAAGCCCAGGCGGGCGAAGCCAGGAAAGGGATTATCCCGTAATGCGTTACAGCAGCCCAGCGTTGATTCATCGACTCAGGCAGCTGATCGAAATGAAATGGTACAAAAAACGGGGTATCCCCTCGGGCTCTACGTCCGAGGGGAAACAACCGCGTTCGGAGAGACTAAGCGTGTGGTACACTAATTGTTGTATTGTGCGTAAAAAATGGGGGGAATTAGTGACGCGTTGTGAGCATGTTGATGTGGCCGCTGTGTCGGAGTCCTGGCTCTCTCCAGATGACCTTATTGGTGATCTGCTTATAGATTTTGCGTGCTACAGGGCTGACAGGCCCGGGTATCAGACTGGTGGAGGAGTACTCTTGCTTATAAAGTGCCAATATAAACACTGGGAGGCTCCATTTACCATGAGTTCTGCTAATGTTCAGGTGGTATCCTGCTATCTAAGAGCATGGGGTAGATTGGAGATTATAGTATGTTTATCGTAGCCCATCCTCCACGCGAGAAGAGGACAGGGATCTTGGTACGTTACTAAGACAGGCGGCAATGGCCGCACCTAATTTTCTGATCGTCGGTGACCTAAACCTTCCGCATGCTGATTGGCAGCATGCTGAAAACAGAGTGGGTACTTTAGAGAAGGGACTAGTAGATTGGATGCGTTCGAACAATACGTCAATGTCCCGACTAGGAGTCATACTGGGAGTACCCCTTCAACCCTTGATATCGTGATCGCCAGACATGGTCCCTTGATTGACCTATGCGTGGAGCCACCCATAGGTAAGAGTGGTCATTGTGTTTTGACCTTTTCTCTGGACACACCGAGGCTTGCAGAGAACCGTCGAATGGGAAGAGATTTAAATCGTATTGATTTTACGAAGCTGCGGGATCGAGCACTTCAGATCACTTGGGTCCCTGAACAAAACAAGGCCACATTGGAACAGAGGTGGCTTCTACTTAAAAATGGACTTGTACAGTTGCTGAATGAATTTGCTCCTCTTCGCCCCAGGAGACATCTTGGGAAACCCCGATGGTGGAGAAGAAAAATTGATAGAGCGATAAAGATGCGCAATCCTGAGTGGAGAAAATATCAAGAAACTCGGGGCTATCGACGTTGGCTACAGTACAAAAGGTGTCGAAACATGGCTATTAAGTTACAGCGGCAGGCGAAGTACTCATATGAGCTTAGATTGGCTAAATTCGCGAAAACTAATCCCAAGTGTTATTACAGTTATGTTCAGTCAAAGGCTTCTCTAAGAGAGGTGGTCGGCTGTCTAACCATGGAGGACGGTACCCAGGCTGTAGACGACGTCGATAAAGTAGAAGTGCTGCTACGTGTCTATCAAAGCCTGCATCGGAAGGATAGTGGGTCAGCCTTGCCATCACAGCCGCACTACTCCACTAGCTACACAATGCGGGAAATTATTCTCAATGTGTCAGAGGTCTTCACAGTGCTGGCCAGTTTGAACCCTTATAAATCAGCTGGTCCTGATAGCGTACATCCCGCCATAGTTAAGCCGCTGGCTGATATCCTTCAGTATCCCGTAGCGGAGTTATATAACCAGTCTCTTCGAGAAGGCAAGCTGCCACGTGATTGGAAGGAGGCGACTATTGTTGCCATCCACAAGGGGGGGTTCTAAGTCGGTGCCTCTTAACTATAGACCTGTTAGTTTGACCAGCATCATGCTGAAATGCTTGGAAAAGCTTATAAGGAACAGGATCTGTGAGCACTTGACTGAGCACAATCTAATTAGAGCGGAACAGCATGGCTTTCTCAAAAAGAAGTCTTGTCTTACCAATCTATTGTGCTTTTTAGACGAGATTACCCGTTGTCTTGATGGTGGGATATCGGTAGAGGTGTGCTATTTGGACTTTAGTAAATACTTTGACTCCGTGAACCATCGATTTTTAATTGAGAAGCTGACATGGTTTGGATTGCGTCCCCAACTATTACTATGGCTCTCTGAATTCTTACGTGGAAGGACATTCAGAGTCAGCGTTGGGGAAGCGAGTACTAGTGTTGGCCATGCCTACAGTGGTGTCCCCCAAGGTTCGGTTCTGGGTCCATTGCTGTTTCTTATGTTTATAAATGACCCGGCTCCTCTTCTTGAGGACCCCTGCTACATCTTCGCAGATGACTTGAAGCTAGTCAGTAGGGGAAACCGAGCGACATTGGCTAAGGACATCATCACTGTGGCGAATTGGTCAAGCCAATGGGACCTACCTCTAAATGCCAACAAATGTCAACTATTGACTAGCAGTGGTAGCGGAATTGCAGTTCAGTCTCCTGTGGGATCTCTATCATTGCGGTGTACTGACGAAGCCCGTGATCTAGGTGTCATCGTAGCGAAAAATTTTAAGCCTTCGGCACAGTGTCGCCATGCTGCCAATAAAGCACGACACGAGTTATTTCGTCTTAGGAGGGCGTTGAGTAACACTAAAGCAGAAGTATTCTTGCCCTTATATAAAGCAGTGGTCAGGCCGCATCTGGAGTATTGTGTTCAGGCCTGGTCACCGTACCTCCGGAGTGACATCATTTGTATAGAAAAGATTCAGAAACTTGCGACCAGGATGATTGAAGGTCAACGAGGGAAATCTTACGAAGATCGTCTAAGTAAGTTAGGATTATTTTCCTCGGAACGGTGTAGGTTGAGAGGGGATTTGATAGAGATAGAGGACAAAGTTTCTTACGAACCGAGGAGTTAACTATTGGAATAAACTTCTGATTTAGTGGAGTCTGAGACCGTATTAGCCTTCAAAAGAGGCTTAGACAATTGTTGGTCCATCCTTTTTCCAGAGCTATTGTAGTTGTACTGGTATATATAGTGTATTTTGATGCTGGCATATGAAAATGCAGAGATTGCTCTTGTTCTTGCTTCATTCCATTGCAGAAGCAAGAAGAGACAATCCAACGTCGAAGTGCCGGGGGCCGCTTCACTTACCGGCACAAGAACTGGACGCTCGTTAGGTGGAAGCCTCTATCGTCCATCTGACCTGACCTGACCTGACCAGAACCACTTTAATCGATTCAAGACAGCTAGGATCAGAGAAAATTTGACGATAGTCAAATTCCGTTGCAATTGCATATTCAAGTTCAAGTTCAGTTGGGACCGGAACGATAGGATAATCCCGTGAATGTTCCTTCTTTTGAGTGTCGTTGGATCGGGAATTTACAGGTCTGCTTGAGATGTTGAAAAGCCTAAAACAAAGACCGCATCACACCCTGTCCAACCAATTACTGCCCAGATTTTCCTGCCCAGCAGTCCCTGCCAGGCCGGTTTATGTGAAGTAAAGAGTGAAGGGTGAGCTAAGAAAAGAAGAGGAGGAATGTCAGCTAAATAATGATAATACCAAGGTGAGAAGAAAATTAAAAAAGAACGAAGGGAAAGTTGAAGATACAAGTCGGTTAGGAGAAGGGGAAGGTTTGGTACTGCCACCCTAGAGCATCTAACTGACGCTCGAAACCCTCTACCGTAGACTCCCTAACCACGTGCGCCGGAAGCGAGTTCCAACGTTCAATAACTCGACGCGACAAGCGAGTTTCCGTCCTTACCCGGTCAGAACGCTGTTTGTGCAGCTTCAACGGGTGACCTCGGAGACTAGGCAGCTTGGCGGGACTAAATAGCCAGGACAAGTCTGGACCGATCTTACCCGTTAAGATACGGTAAGTGAGAATCAAGTCTCCTCTAATTCTGCGGTAGTGCATTGAGTACATACCCAAGCTAAGCAAACGTTCGGGATACGTTTGCCCCCGTAATCCTTGCACTAACCTTGTACCCACTCGCAAAACCCTCTCCAGTTCCATTTTGTCCCTTACAAGACAAGGTGGACAAGCCTGGATACAGTACTCTAAGTGAGGTCGCACGAAAGCTGAGAACAGCTTCACAAAGATATTGGCCGTTAGGACACCGAAGGAGCGGCGAATAAACCACATCATACGGAACCCTCTACAAGCAGCCTTCCTCCAATTTTCCCCAGAGTGAAGCAATGAGGTATGGGTGATACCTAGATCAACCTGCTGAATGACAACAGGGAGTTCACTTCCACCAACTACATAGCGCGTGGGGGGACTAGCACCTCCAATGCGGAGGACAGAACATTTCGCCTGATTTATGGGCATCAACCATAAGGTTGACCAATCCCAGAGCCTATCCAAAGCACTCTGAAGTGCCTCAGAGCCACCAGGGATATCCACAATATTCCAGAGCTTGAGGTCATCAGCAAACAATAGCGACGGTACTCCAAGCTCCTGGGGTAGGTCATTGACATAAATTGCGAAAAGCAACGGCCCTAGAACCGAGCCCTGCGGAACGCCACTAAGAACAGCTTGTCTAAGCGAAAGGCTACGCCCCACGCGTACACACTGTTCTCTGCCCTTCTAGGAAAGCAGAAACCCATTTAAGGGCGGCTCCAGATATCCCATACGATCTCAACTTCAATGAGAGTCGTTGATGTGGGACAGTATCAAAGGCTTTCGAGAAGTCAACGAAAAGCACGTCGATGGCGTGACCGTTGTCTACTGCCTCAGCCCAGCTTTCACGAGCTACAAGCAAATTTGTCAGACATGAAAATCCCTTACGGAATCCGTGCTGGGCCGCACTGAGAAGGTTAAACTTAATCAGGTGATTCTCCACCGAATCCCTGACCAATTTTTCAAACAACTTAACTACTACGCTTGTTAAGCTGACAGGCCGGTAGTTCGCGGGCAGAACTCTGTCCCCGCCCTTAAAAATCGGACAGATGATTGCCTTCTTCCATTCAGAAGGTAAGGCACAGCTGTCGAGTGATATTGTAAACATGCATGTCAGAGGGCCACTTAGCTCAGCGGCCAATTCATGCATCAGCTTCGGATGAATTGAATCAGGGCCAGAAGCTTTGGAAGGATTTAGCCCTTGCAATAGCCCGAAGACTTGTGTCTCCGTTATGCTTATTTCAGTTAGGCAAGAATCCTCCGGAACTTTAGTGACCAGCTCAACTTGAGGTAGAGAGGCCTCATGAGAAAAGACACCAGTATACTGTTCGCTAAGTATACAGGCATTATCATAGTCGGTATGCCCATGGGTCCCGTCCGCTCGTAGTAAAGCCGGTATAGACGAGTTTGTACCGCTACGTCTCTTTACGTAAGCAAAGAACTTCTTTGGGTTTGTTACGGCTGCGTTAGCCAAATCCTCCTCGTACTGAAGACGAAGAGTTCTAAGATGATGCTTACATTTATTTCTAACCGCTCGATAGCTTTCGTAGGTGCTGGTTGATGAAGCCGCTTGGTAAGTTCGCCAGCACTTAGAGCGCTTCCTGAGCAGGTATTTACCTGTATGATCTATCCATGGAGGCTGCGCCCGTGTCACCCTTCTCTTAGTGAATGGGATGTGGGGAGCAGAGATCTCGATGAGGTATGCCTTAAATTTCTCCCAGGCTGTCTCAACGGTGTCAGCCACGGTGATCGCACAACGCAAAACTGAAGCTTTGGCTCGCATTGCGTTAAAGTCTGCCCGCCAAATATTTGGACATGCCTCAGCGGTAGCTTGATGACACTTAGTTAGAGCACATCGAAAGGATATGCAGACATGGTCACTGGCTCCTAGAGGACAGTCGTAGGTAATATCACTTACGAAATCGTGTGACTTCGCAAAATTGAGATCCAAGGTAGACGGAATTTGGTTGCGCATATATCTAGTCGGGAGGTCCACGAACTGATGCAAAGGCAGTTGCAATGTTAGCTCAAGGAGATCCGAACCGAAAGTGCCCACCGCCGAACTGCAAGATAGATCAGCCCAGCAGACTTCAGGGAGGTTGAAGTCACCCAGTATTAGACACCTATTGGCAGCCTGAGTACGAATAAATTCAATAACCTCCCTGGAGATACTACCAGGACTTCGATATACCACTACAACTGTAAACTGAGCAGAGGAAGTGCACACAATAGTCGAGAGGGCTTCAACAGTTTGATCCGGCGACTGGAACACACAAGTTCTCAACACATCGAGTTTACAACTCACATAAAGAGCGATGCCCCCACCCTGGCGGCCAACGGAGCGATCGCATCTAAGCAGTGCGTAGCCAGGAAAACATACTTCATCGTCTGTGATATCCGGGGACAGCCACGTTTCGGTGATACTGAATACTGTATACTGAATACTGTATTTTGGAGCAAGTAGAAAATAATTCTGTACAACTCCATCGAGTGATAATCAAAAAACATTTTTTAAAAAATAAACACGTCCGGTGGTTATCCTGAGATGGTTCAGCAACTCCTTCTGTAGCACACAAAATGCTTGTTTACACAGTGAGTCACAAGTGGGTGATATCGTTGTCAAGTGGCAACCGTTCTCTGAAACGTATGTTAGCGAAGTGTAAATCCAACAAAGATTTGAATTTCTGCACAGATTCGGCCTCGACGACGTGTTCTGGCAGACTGTTCCAGGCGTGCACAACCCTCCGCTCGAAACACAGGGGGTGTGGGATTTTCTTCAGATCAGGTACCACGAGTTTGTACCTGTGCCCACGTGTGGTACATGGAACTCGCAAGTGGAGTAACGACCTTAGCATGGGGAAATGACCGAGATGTAAAATACGGTAGGTCATGATAAGATCCACTCGAACACGGCGATATGATAAGGTGTAGAGCCCAAGTTTCATGCACCAGTTTTCATACGATAAGCCTCTCAAGCTGGGGATCAACTTGGTGGCGATGTGTTGTACTCGTTCGATCTTTTGCGCTTCGCCGCGAGTGATCGGACAGCATGCAGGCGAGCCGTACTCTACCATTGGTCTGACGATGGAAGAGAAGAGGCGAGTGGCGACGTCCTCAGACCAA